AGACACCAGGGAGGAAGGAAGAAAGCCCAACTTACAAGGTGACATTGGGTCAGTTATACTTTAGTCTGCAGTCACACTGACAATAAGAATTCTATGTAAGCACCATTTAAATCTATTTAGATTTTACTGTTCATATAGTGGAAGGGTAAAATTGATCTATATGGGCTACAACACGAGTCTTTTTTTTTCAGTTGGCTAGCAAGGGGCTTTTAAAAATACCATGCTTCTAAAACCAGTTCAATTCAGTTCTATTTTGTGGAAATTAGACTGTTTCGAAAGTGTGTCAATGCCAAAATCAGTTAAATCACCAGATATAAATCGATTTCCATTCAGTGCATGTGAATGTAGTCGCCGGTTTAAATTCCATGTAACTTGAACCTGCTTTTAAAAAGGTTTGAACAGAAATTGATTCAAAATGGTACAGCCTTACAGAGTAGTTCTAAGGATAAATAGGGGATGAGGAGATTCATATACCGCTATGGAGGAAAAGTGGCAGATACATGTAACAATCAAAATATTACAGCACAATCCTATGCCTGTTTATACAGAAATACGTTTTACTGGATGTAGTGGTCTTGTGCTCTAAATATGAAGATTAAACAAGTGATTGTTTGAGCTAAGTCTCTTCCACTTGCATAGACAGAACACACATTTCTAAAAAAGATTATGTAAGACCTGTTTGTGCCTTCTGTAGCTATTTGTTCTTACTGGGCATATGATTTTCAGAATTCATGGACTATGGTATGCTGAAGTCTGCAGGAATTCTCTCAGCCAGACCTCTGCGAGTTTCAGCTACCCACCCTGTCCTTTCAGGTGCCTATAATCATCTCAGGTGCCTGAGAAATAATGATGAAGATGGAGGAAGTGGAAGTTGGGGAAAGTTCTATAAGAACTGCAAGACATTATAGGTCTGGGAGTGTCCCTTCCTATTATGTTTCATACAGGGTGTCTCTCAGGAAATTACCATAGTTCTTCATAGTTCCCAGAGAGCCCTTCTTAGTTGCTTCCTCTCTCTTCATTATGTCAAAGGCAAACTATTATTTCTCAGCTGAAAGTGATTACAGACACCTGAAAATACTGTTGGTTTTGTTTGTTTTTTGGCTAAATCTTCCAGAAGTCTGGCTGGGGGAATTCTTGCAGTCTTCTGGGTGTTGTAGTCCATGAATTCCCAAAACTTCATGCCTAATTCTTATTTATCAAGAAACCAGTTTTTTTTAAAAAAAAGAGTAGCACCTTTTAACTGATGTAATTTGGGTTTATTTGCAGAGAAATCACAGTGGTGATATTCATCCTGCACTCTGTCTACATTCTCCATCCCTTTGGAATGTTTGTGTTTAACTCAAAGAACAACCTTTGGCCCCAAGTTCCAGAAGAGTACCACGGCTTGTCTGTTGCAGCAAAAACATCATAGTTTTGTAACACACTAAGAACCAACAAATGTATTATTGTACGAGGTTTCATATACTATAGCCCCGTTACACACATGAAGTATGATAATACAATGTGCATTGTATGTAGTTGAGGATAGGATTGTAGAAATCAAGATTATAGATGGGGGTATTCACATATGAATATGAATAGCCCCGCACAGGTGGCATTAATGAGGATCCAGCCCGAAGTATGATAATACAATGTGCATTGTATGTGGTTGAGGATAGGATTATAGAAATGAAGATTATAGATGGGAGTATTCACATATGAATATGAATATCCCCGCACAGGTGGTGTTAATGAGGGTCCATTGGACGCAGATGGTGCAATACTATGAATGGCTGCACAGTGTGCGCTCACCGATCTGCTGCGGACACAGATGGTGCACTACTATGAATGGCTGCACAGTGTGCAGTCCGCTCGCCACTCTTTGACCTTGCAGCGAGGCTTGTCCTCCCGCCTTCTGCCAGGAGTGGCGAGCAGATCATGCACTGCGGAGCTTCACCGATCTGCTGCGGACACAGATGGTGCACTACTATGAATGGCTGCACAGTGTGCAGTCCGCTCGCCACTCTTTGACCTTGCAGCGAGGCTTGTCCTCCCGCCTTCTGCCAGGAGTGGCGAGCAGATCATGCACTGCGGAGCTATTGGTAGACTTGTCCTCCCGCCTTCTGCCAGGAGTGGCAAGCAGATCATGCGCTGCGGGGCTATTGGTAGAATTGTGCCGTCCGTGGCGGATCGGTAAGTGGACCGTCTGGCCCCATGGGGCTGGACCCTTGTTAATGCCACCTGTGCAGGGGTATTCATATACGAATACAAATACCTCCATCTCTAATCAATATCAAAGGGAAATTATGTACAGAAAGCACAGTCAGTGACAATTACATTATTAACACTAGCCATTCACAGAACTGCTTCTCATTAATACAAACATCCTGACACTAGGTAAGCCAATTATCACATGTATTGTGCTTAGAAATTGTAATCCCGTTTTAAACCTCTGCTGATAGACTGAAACTTCCTAATGAATTGTAACTCTTTGTGTGTCACTCTAATCTCCTGTGACTGTTTTAAAGTCAGTGACAGAATATCTGGGGAGGGTGGAGCGTTTTCCCATTGCTGTTTGAATATTGACATTGCTGTTTATTATTTTTATTGCCCTATTTTCCTGTATAATGTACAAAAGCATTGTATTCGCGAAGGCTTTCACGGCCGGGATCTAATGCTTGTTGTGGACAGGAGTAGCACAGAGTGCACCATAGCACAAAGTGTTACTCCTGTCCTCTGAAGATGCCGGCCACAGAGACTGGCAAAACGTTAGGAAGAACAACCTTCAAAACATGGCCAAAGAGCCCGAAAAACCCACAACAACCAATACAAAAGCATTGTTTGCAGAAGATGAGATATATCATACGAGAAGAGGAACATGTGAATGTAGCAATTTTCAGATAGGTAGCAATGTCAGTCCCAAATACAGATGGGTATAAACTGAACTATGAACCTAAACAAACAAACAAAAAAAACACAGAGACTGGGCTGTTTCATGGTTCAGTTTGTGGAACTCATTTTAATGTAATGAAGTGTCAAACATTTTTTCTCCTGCTGCTTCGTTTTGCTTCAGCCCGTCCATCGCCCTCCTTCTGTGCCCCCGTCACCTCCCTATCTGCTCTTTCCATTGCCTCCTTTTCATCTTTTGCCTCCGCCATCTCCAGAGCCAGCAGCCCAGGCTGCTTGGAAGTGACATCAGCCTGTCACCTGAAAAGCAGGCTCATGCACAGAGGCAGCAGGCCTGGCTCCCAGAAGTGACACCAGGTTGCTGTCTCTGAAGATGGCAGTGGCGGAGAAGGAAGAGTTGGCAGGAGCAGGGAGGGTGGTGATTAGGACAGGGGGCAAGGGAGTTAGGCTCCTCTCCCCCTGGGCACAACCCCTCCTCCAAAAAAGAATTGCAAAACTAGTTCATTTTTTCCAGGGTTCTGGGGTTGTTCCTGGGTAGTCACAAAACCACAAACTACCCCAATTTGTCATTTTTCTGGTTTATGCCCATCTCTAGTCTTAAACATGCCACAGTATTTTGTTCTTGTTTTTCAAGTGAGTGAATCCTTTAGATTGTGGATAAAATAATTAGGCTCTGTAACAGTGCTGCCATATTACAGGGGGAAAAATAGCATCTGGATTTGTGTGGGCTATGTCTATATTTGTTGTGTGGCTTAGTATAATAACTTTTTGTTGATGGGCGTTGAGGAAGGCTGTGGAGCTTAAAAGTCCCTGTAGTGGTTTTCATCCAATGGACCTTACACAGTCTCCCATTTCTGGTAGAATCTCTATGAAGATTTGTCTTGGACAACATTCATCCTTGATTTAATAACATTTTGTGACTTCTCAGCCTAAACTGTTTGTGTGAGCAAGCTCTAAATTCATTCTGGAGATTGGCTCCAAATTCATTCCAAAGGTTTGTGCTGTGTTGAAGGCAACTGGCCAGCTTATTGTTGCTTCCCCTAAACTATCCAAAATGTCCAGGTCCAACTGTGCTGAAGGTTTGTGCCTGCCTATTATTCTTTGGTACCAATAGACTGGGGCATGTGCAGCATCAGCTATAGTAGTGCAGCATTGATTGGAGGAATCCATGATAACAGAACAGCAAGGGGACAGTTAAGATGTGCATGTCTTTTCAAGCATATAAGTGCTTTTATATCTGTACCATTTCCATGCTTGTGTATGTGAAAGGTGAGAAAAAGGAGGGCTTTGTCTATGATTAGTACAGTGTAAGACATACATACTGGGTGCCTCCAGGTACTTTTGTGTGTAAGTGAATTGAGAAAAAGGAGGGCTTTGTCTATGATTAATACAGTATAAGACATACATACTGGGTGCCTCCAGGTGGGTGAGTAACGATAGGCTAGGCAGTTTGTTAGCCATTCTTTCTTTGACAAAACAAGGAAGTCCAAAGCCAGCTGCCAACAGAATAAGAAACAACTAGCTTGCAAATGGTTCGCTCTAATCTGCTCTTGAGGAGGATCTCCAGCGCACAGCTAGTTACCTCTGAAGCATTCCAAAAGCCTGCAGCGTAGTGGTAGTGTACAGTAGATGGTTTTGGGCGTGACGGTAAGAATTTATTTCTGTCTTTGGCAAAAGAAGCGGTGGGAATGCTGTTTTCAAGCGCAGTCTTCCTCAGCAGCTTTGAAAGGAGTATGGAAGACTACATTTCCCTCAACTTAAACGCTGCCCTTCCCACAACTATCGGGCTACGTGGTTTCTCGCCAGATGGACTCAAAACAAAATTCAGTAGGCGAAGCACGATAAGGGTTTGTGTGTGGACGAAAAGGAAGGGAACAGGACAGTCGGTGTGTGTGTGGGGGAGCTTCTCTGTCTGCCCCAGCCTCCCTCGCCTGAATAAAAGAATGAGTGTGTGTGTGGGGGGGAACCCCAGTCCCCCGTCAGGACTGAGGCAGGAGGCCCGGGGGTGGGCCAACAAAGGTGACAGGTGGCGCCCCTCCCCCATTGTGGCGTGGGCGTCGTTGCCGGGCGTCGCCCCCTCCCCCCGCCCGCGCAATCCGGCCCCGCCCCTTCCCTCGCGCCTTGCCCGGCCCCGCCCGCCATGCCGGCGTCGGAGTTTCCTTGGGGCAGAGGTGGCAGCTGCTGGGCGCCTCATCGCCGCTTCGCGCGCCCCCTCCCCTCTCTCTCGCTCTCTCCTTCTCTCGCTCTCCCCCTCGCGCCCTCAGGGGAGGGAGGGCGGAACTAACCGGTTCCGAGAGGCAGCAGAAGGGAGCGAGAGCGCCAGACGCGCGCGCCCCGGGCACCTTCGGCTCACCTGCCCGGCAGCGGCAACAGCGGCGGCGGCGGCGACTCCAGAATGGAAGGGGACCGTCTGGAACCCGCCGTGAGTTGGTGGCCGCGGAGGGCGGGAACCGTTCCGGCCGCTGTGTCTGTGTGTGTGGCGGGGGGGAAGACTTTGCCTGAGGAGACGGGCGGCTCTGAGGGCTTCCAGCGAAGTGCTCGAGAGCGCTGCAGGTGGTGTGTGTGAGAGGGGGGTAGGGAAGGAGAAGGAGAAAGGGGGCTCGGGGTATTTCACTGAGAGGATCTGTGGCACCCTGCAGGTGCTGAGGCAGAAAGCTAGGAGGTTCCCTCCCGCCAGCTTTAGGGGCCAGACGGGGTGTTCCCTCTGCCTTCTGGGCTGCCCGTATTGCGCAGGAGACGCTCCCCTTTTCCTCCTCTGGAGCCCGCAGTCGGGAAGGGAAAGGAGCCGTCTCTCGGCAGCTGGAGTCCTTCCGTGCCTTTTCTTCTTCTTCTTCCGTCCTTTTCCTCCTTTCCTTGGTTGCGAAAGGCAGAATTCTGTCCCCGTCTCTTTCGACCTCCCCCCCCCTTTCCGACACGGTCTCTTCATCGGGTGGTTTTGCCAGATGTCCCTCTTCCGGCTGACCCCTGTACCCGAAGGCTGATTCCTCTTTCTTTTTGCTTTTACACATGACACGCAAGGCTTGGAGGCTTGGGTGTGTGTTGTGCCATGCGCCGCAGCTTTGTGCAAACTCATCCTGCTGCATATGACCGCTTGGTGGACTCCTTAACTCAGGGAGGAACTGTCAGTCCCTTAGGTTTGAGTAGGGATGGCTTTAGATTTGTTAAATTCGACCCATGGGTGGGGTCTCAGTGCATGGGAATTCAATCAGTTATGATGCTGTTTATTTATTTGGGGAAAAGGCAGTGGGTTTCTGAGGTGTTTTTCCTGTGTACACATCTATAGGCGGGATAAAAGTATCAGCTATGGAAATTTATAAGCAGGATGAGTGGTTGATGAAAAGACAGTCAAAAGTAGGCTAATAGGTACCAGGGACGTGATTACTTGGTAGTTTATTCACCAGATGAAAAAAAAATCAGCAAGTAAAACTATTAATCAAACAACAGAGGGAACAAAAAGCATTCTTTAAAAACTGCTGGAGATCAGGAGGGACCATAAGTAGTTTTGGGGATATGAATGTGAAATATGTGGAGCCAATACTAAAAAAGTTCTGTTCCCTGTAGTTTCCAATCTTATGTTTTAAATGGCAGACTAGAAAGCAGGACCATTGAGACTGGTCTTTGAGTTTGTGCAGATTCATGTTGACATACTTAGCCCTTCAAATAACATGATGCCAAGTAAGCAGAAATAAACTGAACCCAGGAACAAATGTAGGTTTGTTTCAATGTCACTGTTACACAATTTGAACACCTAATCAACACAGCCATCATTGCAGTTTTCTGTATTAACGTGTACTTTTTCATCTAGTTTTAAAAGAATCATGTAAAAATAATGCTATTCTCGTCTTGTTTGGATGTAGCGATACCACGCATAACTGAAGCCAGATCTCCTTTCTTCAGCTAGGGCTGTACTTGGTAAACCAGCTGAAACCAGTAAATCAGTAGGTAATTCTGGATGTAGGAGAACTCTCAGACTGCATAGCTGACTTCAGGGGAGAGTACAGTCCTAATGGTCATTCTAACCAACAGCTCCTGCCTCTTGTCTGGATTAAATGTTGGTTTGCTCATTTCCACCCTGTGACGGTTGCCCCTTGTGGCCCCTGTTTGTCTTCCAAACACAGAGCACACATAGGCAACCCAAACACCTTTTCACACGCTGCCACCAGTTGATTTCTTTATCAACGTACTTTACTTAGGAAAGAAAAAAGGTCCATTCATCAGTGTCTTTTGAATAAAACAGGTTTATTGATTACAGATGTTTCTATACCAATTCATAAGTATCTTCTTCAGGTTCATCAAGCATCAGTAATAATCTTCTGTATTATCTTACAGGTTACTATACACTCCTCAGACTAATCACTCCTCAGATTCCCAAACTAACTCTCTCTTTCTCTCTCTCTCTCCCTTCAAACTTAGATCCAGACTGTAAACTCTTCCTCTCTGGCTCCGCTTTTTAACATCTCTAGTGGCCCCACCTCTCAACCACATCAGCATAAAACATGAATAATGCATGACCTATTTAACATAATAAGGGTGAACGCCACACACCCATTTCAAAACATATAGTCAAATACTTATTCATAACCTGCCTAGATGGAAAAGAGAACTAGAATTCTGTATCAACTATATGTGGATTACACCTCAACCTAAATGTCCGGAAGATCTTTCCCAGTATTTTCGTGTAGGTGTTTAAATATAAGAAATAAAACCCAGGGACCATTGACTGGCACTGGTTTCTGAGCACTGCCTTTCAAAGACTACTGACACTACTTTAGAGACTGGAATACTGTCACATTCATTTCACTCTGAAGGTGTAATCCAGAAGAATATCATGGTGAATAGAAGCAAAAGCTGTGGAAAAGCCAGTGATTATCAGTAGGATTATACTTCTTCTGCCTATTTCCCATGAATCCTCTTTCAGGCTGGCCAGGATGGTTTATATCCCAAAATGAGTTCAAAAGCTGGACAGAACCAGAACATCACTGCTCTGATATCTTGCTAAAAATACCGTATTTTTCGCTCCATAAGACGCACCTTTCCATAAGACGCACCGATTTTTTAGGAGAAGAAAACAGGAAAATATAATCTGTTTTCTTCGCTCCATAAGATGCACAGACTTTCCACCCCCCTGTTTTGTGGGAAAAAAGTGAGTCTTATGGTGCAAAAAATACAGTATATCACAATTTAGAGGTCATCAACACAGGCAAAAATCAAATTTTTTAAATAGAAGGTATCGCCCCCCCCCCCCCAGGAAGCATTAATAACCTCAGAGTTATTGCTTAGCTCTGTCTGCTTTTAGAAGTCAAAGTAAAATAAAATAAAATGATAGGTTTCGGTATCCCGGCAAATTTTTCGTAATCCCAGTCTTCAGAAATTAGCTACACTGCCTCAATAGAACATATTTCATTTCCCACTAGGGTTAGCCCAAGATGCTTTGCTATATGGGGCATAGCACCAAAGGGCACCTAATATTCACCCACATTAAGGTACACATTAACCAAAGACAGCAAAATTATTTTAGCATATGAGGAAACAAAACTCCACAAACACCTCTTCCCATCTTTAGTCACCAAAATACAGCAATAAAGTAGTGAGCTTTCATTACACCCTAACTACTGATTGAGGGAGCTGCGTTATTTTGTCTTAAGATGGGGCTTGGCTTTAGTCCCCATTCATAAATTTGTATTAAAAGCACAGGAAAACACACACACCTGTTTAAAAAGCGGAAAATCCCCTGCATGATTTTCAGTTAGTATATTGAGAGAGACTGTTTACTAATTAGATGTAACTGATTCCGAAAATGATGTTTCATAATCAATTGATGTAATAAGAGTGAGAAAAAAGAAACAAGTTTGTATATCATGGGTAATCATAATATATTTAGCTAGCCTGAAATTTTTTAGCCAGCATGTTTTTATTCCAGCATGCTGAAGACTAATGTACAGTGCCATTGCTCTTCTCTTGGTTTTCTTTGGATGAGTGGAAGGTGAAGCTTTTGCTCCTGGAGAATGAATAGAAGGTTGATCATCCCTCACTGAACTTTTGGCAGCACAATTGACAAACCTCTATTCCCGAAAGGCAAAGAGTTGGGCACTGCAGAGCCATGTCTCCTAATTTATTCAACCAGGCTATAACTTATTCCGACTTAATTGTAACTTGGACAAACATCTATTTTTTCCCCTAACAATATGCTTTTTTGTTCTTCAGAATCCTTTTGGAGGAGAGGCAGAGTAAACTGCTGCATGCACACTAGACTGTGTCCATTTAAGGGACAAACACCTTATTTCAAATGCATTAGTTATCCGTATACAACTTTTTTCTAATCTTGCAGAAGTACAGCAATCATACAGCTCACTAGAATTCCATTTATTAATAAAATACTTAAGAATGTACATTAAAAGAACTGTGTAACAAAGTTCTTTCTGTAGCTAGATGCACTCTGTGGATTCTTATTATGGTATTTACTGCCATACTATGGTCTCATTGTGAAAGTGCAGCCTGCAGATTAAAACTTACATATGGTTCTTTAAGACTTTTCTTTTGATAGATATTTGTACTGAGGGCAGAAGATCATGTTGTTTTATACTTACACCTGGAAGTTTGGATTGTGTGTAGAAGCTAAAAAGAACAAGTCTAAAGGGAAGATTCTTTTGTCAAGTTTAGGTTGTAAATGTTTGGTTAAAACAGGGATGGGCAACTGTAGACCTATATGCAGCCCCCACATATTTTTGTGGGCCCTGGAACTTCCCAGGAATGTCAGTTTTAAAAGCAGTCACTGTTAAAAACCTGTCAGTGAAAGAATGTTGTCATGGTGGAGAGAGCCTTGTCTTTTAAAGATATGTAAGAAGAAGAAAAACTAGGCGTGGTAATTGATGTTGTATGAGTGATAAATAAGGAAAAATAATATTTATTGCAAAATTTTATACATTTTACTGGGAAGCAAAAGCCACTCAGTGATAATTCATAATAATTATTTTTAATATGTAGGCATGATAGCGTCTTTTTAAAAACTTTTAGTGCTTATTGCAGCAATTTGAAAAATATATAGTGCCTTTCTAATTGGTTTTCAAGACAGCATTTTAGAAAGTGCATGTTGAGTTTGTTTCCTTCTATGTGATGCTCTATTACACCATTAAGAGAAAATGAGTAAAGAGAGATACCATGTCAGCCCAACTAAGTTCCGTGGGATTGGCAAAACATAATTTAATTAGATTGTTTGAAGAAAAAAAAATATTTAGAGTGGTACAGAATGATTTTTTGCTCACATAACAGTAACTGTATCTTTTACCACACACTGAGATTTGTGAATTAGGACTACCCTGATTATGATTTAATTTTGTGCTGGCATGTATTTATATTTTATTTCTTTAAAATATTTCTACCCTGCTTTTCTCCTTAAAAAAGAGCCGAGGTGACCCACATAATTAAAAAAGACAATATTTAAAAGCTAAAAATAGTACCATGTTTCCCCAAAAGTAAGACAGGGTCTTATATTAATTTTTGCTCCAAAATGCATTAGGACTTGTTTTCAGGGGATGTCCACTGCACAGGTGGACATAAACGATTCAGGGGTATTCATATTTGTATACGAATACAAATACCCTCATCTCTAGTGCTGATAGATCCAGTTATACTGACAGAAGAGGCTTCTGCCCATTTTATACTTACTACAGCTGGTCTATCTTTGAGTTTAGATTACATAATATGGATCAGAATGTCAATACTGTACTATTGTTACTCTAGTTACTATAAAATATTTCCTAACCAAAATCCGTATCATCTTTCTAGATAGTGAAACATGGAAGGAAATGTTTGCTACATCTCTCTCTCTCTCTTTTTCTGTCTCTCTTTTTTTAAAAAGGCCATGACTGAAATGACGTATAGCATTTGTAAGTGTGGTCATCTGCTGGTACTTGTAATTAAAAAAAACCTTTTATTTGCTTACAGGTTACCATTAAGAATATTGAACGGGAACTTATCTGCCCAGCATGCAAGGAGTTATTTACCCATCCACTAATTCTCCCTTGTCAACACAGTATCTGCCACAAATGTGTAAAAGAAATTCTTTACTTCACATTTGAAGATTCATTCAATGATGCTGCCTCAGAAACGTCCAATCAAAGTAGCCCTCGCAATCGAATGCATTCCCCTAGCTTGGACAAAATTGACAGGGTTAATAGATCAGGTATGTAAAACAACCATTGCTTCTGCATACAATTAGTATAAAACCTGAGGTATCACCTATACTTACATCAATCAAAAGGGTTGCCAGGTATAGTTATTTAATTGTTGTTTCTAAAAGGTGTTCATAGGATAGTGATTTCCTAACCATGTGGTTTTCACACACAGAGAAAATGTGTGTGTTTACTTCTTTATCACTAGTAATTATTGTGATAAGCTTTTTGCTATATGTTTGTACTGATTTAATTTAAAGGATTTTGTAGCTCTTGTAATCCCAATTTATATATAATTCGGTATCATAAATGTATATGTGAACCTCATATATTCACATAATTTCCCACTTCCCTATACTACTATGTCTGGTTTCTACTGCATGTGTGATAATGGAACTCTTCAGAAAGCCAACTAAAATTATCAAATGTTTCTGCAAACATAACAGTTTGAATTGTTTGTTATCTAGCCCAGGAGTGCTTTCTCTGATTAGCAGTGGCTATCCAGGGTCTCCAGTGGTGATCTTTCTAATCATTTACTATCCAGTCCTTTAAACAAGATGCCAGGGATTGATGCTGTGACCTTCTGCATGAAAGTATATGTTCTATCACTGAGCCATAGTGCTTCCCTTGCAACAGACTTGCAGTACATTCAGAAGTGGATAGGAAGTAGATTAAGTTCTTTTGGTAGATCTCAGATGAAGTAGTTTAATATTTTCTGAATAGAAACTGAAATAGAAAGTGAGATCCACCCATGGCTGGCCTTGCGCTCTTAACTTTTGTATTTATCACTATTAATACATGTATTAATTGATCAGCTGTTTACACATTGGTACTGTCCATTTCAAGAGTTTACTGTTAGAATCTCCATTTCATAATAACAAATAATGTTTTTATTTGTACCTACTGTTTATTGCTGAGGGGTATAGTAGTTAATTGATTGCACAGCACCCTTCTTTTTTGTATCTGCTTCTGATCAATGGACCTGAAGGTTGTGATTAAAAATGAAAAGCACACAACCAAACCCTGCCAGAATTGAATCAGAGAGTCAGATCTTGTAATTTTGAAATATCTTCAGTGACTATTATTATAAATGAAATTTCTTTGTAATAAATATATGTATCTTACAGTTCTTACATAAATGCCAAAGCTGGACTATGAACCAATT